AAAAAAAAAAAAAAAAATACGTGGTAAAAAAAATCTCGACTTATATCTCGCTAAGATAATGATACGATACGCAAAGCTTATCAGATTAAATATCCTTACAATTAGCAGTGAATTACACTTGCGATGATAAATCATAAATATACGGATTCTTTTTTCTTTCTTTTTTCTTTGTTCTCGGTTTTCTTTTTTTTCTTTTTTTGTTCGTTTCTTCCTTTCTTTTTTTTTTCTTTTTTTTTCCAAGGCAGACTTTGATCACCCGGTGAAGCGATAAAGGTTGCTTCAGTTGAATTCTCGAATCTTCACAGACGGCGATATCGCCGTAAAGAGTTTAGCCACCTCGTAATTCGCCGTTCTCGTCGCCGCCCCTCCTCCTGTTCCGACCGCGTCCTACAAAACAACCGGAATTATTCTGTAATATCTCGTTTCACCTCGTAGAAAATAATCTAACAATAGACTACTTTATTTGCTGTCGCGTACAAATGATCGAGACGAACTAAACACGACGTGCTATCGAATGTTCTTCTCTACCCGTATAAAAGAAGAAATGAGGAACAATTAGGTGGTAACTTGAAGATACAAGATAATTATTTGCTGTCGCGTACAAATGATCGAGACGAACTAAACACGACGTGCTATCGAATGTTCTTCTCATGATCTACCCGTAATAAAAGAAGAAATGAGGAACAATTAGGTGGTAACTTGAAGATACAAGATAACGGGGGAAAATTCTCTTTTTCTTTTCGTATCATAGCGCTTTAAAAATAATTCTGCATGTGAGAATGGGAGAAACGATGATGGAAGAAAAAAATTCTCGTGTTGGAAATATACTATAAAGGTTTCATATGTATGAACATATATAACATTCAAGAGAGCATAACACTTCCTAAATTCGTTTTCTTTTTCTTAGTTTTCTACTTAAATCGTAGAATTACTCTCGTTATCAATTGTACTGGTGATGGAACTCTAGATGAAACCATCTAGGTAGTCACTGATGGACAAATGAAGAAAGGAAAGTCAGTGATGTTGCATAATTTCGTTCGATATGTTACGTGCTCACTAGTATTAATCTAATATTGAAAAAAGACAAATATACATAGGTATACATATTACGTGAAATACCTGGTCATATGATGACTTAGTTCGTTAGCTACAATGCAAAGAATTATTACCGTTTTAAACTTTATTCTGAAGTAGAGAAACACGATTGTAATTATTTATCATTTATCAGTGATAAGCATACAACGATAAAAAAAAAAGAAAAAGAAAAGAACACTCGTCATTGAAAACACACATTTCCTGGTATATTAAAAATATTTTGTGTTTTAATTTGATAGAACTTTATTTTCATCGCTACAATAATTTTCAGTAGTAAAATACCAATATGACATTCCATGCACATGTCATTTAATCGATATCTCTCGCTCTCTCTCCCTTCTATACATATGAAAATTGTTCACGTGTATAAAAAATTATAAAACTTTTCTTTATTTTTATTATTATTAACGTTTACGTTATACGGACCGTTATTATATTTTATTTTCATTTTATTTTAATACTTAGCCTCTGAGGCCTAGGAATGACAAGTTAAAACTTTGTACTTCGTTTTCTCCTTCTTTGAAATTCTTTTACTTCCTTTCTCTTTTTTAAACTCCTTGTAAGGTAAAATTTACAAACAATCTACTATGTCTACACCAATATCTTTATATAGTTCCTCAAAAAAAATATATAAAAAAAGGAAATAGTATATGATGAAGATTTATGAACGTAATGGTGGAATTATAAAAACTATGGACAAGTTCACAACGTGAAGAAAGGGATCAGTCAGATAAAAACTTTGAACACCGTTATTTACTCCGATACCTGTACGTTAAACGTGAAAAATGGTCGAATTTCTTCAGTATATTACTCTTAATTACGTTGATCATACTAATGTCGTGTACTATCAGAAGATCTTGGAAAGTATAATTATAAGTTTTCACTACCTCTGCGTATCTGATTGAGACATGCCAACATTCTGATCATAAAAACAGCCGGTACAGTCATTGTGTCTTTCGTTTCTTCCAACATGACTGCATTCCTCTTTTTTAGCTGTAAATATATGTATTTTAATAAATCGATTTATTTTTATAATTCATCGTGTAATTTAACGATGAATAATACATAAGGACTTACATCTTCGGCAAACTTTTCGTCGAAGCTGGATTCCTCATTTATTGGTGCCCAAAGTTTAACATCATAATCAATACCGGCTGTGGCCAGCAATGGCAGATATGGATGTGGTTGTAAACAATTAACTACGTGTTGGTCCGCTTCCAATAACATGCACAATCTTGCTGTGTCTTTCTCCCATACGAACACATGGCCACAATCGCTACCCGACATGACGAAATCGTCGCCCCAAAAGTTTGCTTCTTTGATCATGGTCCTAAAGAAACTAGAGTCAAACGGGGGAAGACCAACTGATCAGATAATATGGCGGCCTTATACGAGATGTCCCACACCGTTTGAAGGCTTTTTCGGAATTAAAAGCGAGTCAACAATTTTGGTTTCCGATAGAAATTCAAACATCACTGTACATACACATTGAATACAAAAGTTAAAACGTTATGTAAATAAAAATAAAGGTTTTCAAAGAACCAAGCTCGCCGAATAGAATTGGTGTTTAACAAAATTCAACTAATTTTCTCTACATCACCCTTACTGATTATTATTCAATATTTTAGCCAATTAAAAAATTTGCAATTAAAATCGATTTTATGTTAATCTTTTAGTCACAAGATTTAATTATATACACCATCGTATATACAGCCTTCGCAAGGTTTCGTCATTTAATACGCGTAAATTGCGTTAATCGTTGGCGACCACCAAATTAAAGTTATCACAATGAGAAAAATAATAATATACCTAGCGTTGCGGTGCCCCATGTATTTCTGTTTCACACGAAGTTCCGTTACGCACGTTTTGTCGAAACTTGCGGATCCTCGACGAGGACGACCATCTTCAATAGCCTCTTCCATTTCAGTGTCTGCACAACTTCCCACTCTAGATAATAAAAGAGAAGCACAATATTTCGCTGAAGTTTTTTACGTTACATTACGTAGAAACGTTCTAATTATAGCATTTTAAATATTCATAAGATACCTTTCTTCAGCTTTTATATCTTCGTCATCACTGTCACTAAAAGCGCTTTCATCAGTCTCTGTCAAAAAGATAACGTATGATTTCTAATCTTTTAAAGGATACATTTATTTACATTGTATCTACTTACTTTCTTGTGTATCATTATATCGTATATGTTTGTCATGATTTCTGCCCGAGAATGTTCCACTAGTACCAGATGGTCCTATGCAATGTCATATTTTATTCGAAATAAATAATGACGAAAAAATTATGCCACAGTTCAAATGCACTTACCCGCATGATAACCATCACGGATCATCTCATCGGCTACACCAAGAGATATCGTTGCGCTTGTTGAACTTTTATCCGTATAAGTTAAACTTACAGCAGGTTCACTACCATGTCTGTAAGTAAAACGTAAACGAATAGAAATGTTCGATCGAAGTACCAATCTAACTCATTTAGTATTATTCTTTCTTGAATATCATACTTTTCAAGGAACCCGACTCTCATTTTTGTCAGTCTATCTTGAAGGTTCTCCATCATATGTCCTTCCTGTTTATTTTCGATACTGCTACACGGAGAATCATCAGTGCTACTTTGATCGTCTTCCGCTACATCATTGGTCATATCCATAGTACGCGATGAACACGGTTGCACAGAACACTTTTGCGTTTCTACTTGACTAGATTTGACTTCCATAGGAACATGTGATTTGTACTCGGTTGATGAATTCTCATCAATCGTTTGATTTGAAGGCATAGTTTCATTGGATGGCGTTTCTTCTTTCGTTTCGGCAGAGTAACTTGTTCCGGGTTTACTTTCACTAATACTCGAACATTCCAATTTGTTTACTTGTTGCTCCGATATAGCTACGAGTTGTCGATTTATCATTTCACTAATCTGATAAAAATCAAACAACCTCAAGTATGATATAATTAAATACCTGTTTCTTGATTAATCTGAGTCTGAACTGTTTCAACTCTCTCAGTTTCGTTGTCTCGTCTTTCTCCGCTAGATTCCGTAACGTTTTCGTTGCTATTTTGGGTGTTATCTTGATGATCGATCACACCTTCTAAATTATCATCACCACCACCGCACAACGCCGCTCTAGTAGCTGGGTCATTTAACATTCTACTGAGAACATCCGTCATTCTTTGCATTAACGAAGTTTGAAGAACGGGTCTGGCTTGAGCAATTTCTGAAACATGCATAAATAAACGCGCATAATGCTCCGCGAAATCAATAATAATACAAATTTTGATTTCAAGTACCTGTACCGTTACGTCGACCGCCTTCACATTCTGGTCGAGCATCGGGACCGGTGTCAGACCAGTCTCCCCTAAGTCTTAATCTACGTACTAACGGCGAACGTAACTTTTGCTTCTTACCCTCTCCTTTTCTAACTCCGACATCTTTCTTTAACTGTACACTTGCTTGTTCCTAAACAAGACAATATATTCTATAAGAAAATATGATACACATATTTCTTTGACGCGGAAATTTTTCTTATACCTTTACGTTGAACAGGTAAAGGTGATCACTGCTATAACTAACAAGAACATCCTGTCCATCTGGGCTATAATTTAAAGATGTTATTCTGTAAGAGTTTCCTTCAAATTCTGGAACTGTGAAAGTACATAAGGCTTTAACTGCACCAGGTGTGTCTGTCCATCCTACAAAATAATATAACACATATTTTATCTTTTCTTGTACATCGATTTGTAATTTTTTTACATGTTGTAATTACCAGTAGCTGGTGTTCCAAGTGTTCTTCTATCAAGTATTCTAACTGTACTATCAGAACAACCTATTGCTATTTGATGGGGTGCAGCAAGATTTACAGATAGAGCAGTTATAGCTCTCTCGCATGAAACTAATACATCTTCTGTACACCTTGAGGCATTACACTTGTCCTTTATTCGAAGATCAAACCATCTCACAGTTCCATCCTCTCCACAGCTTAAAAAATTATGTGGTTCGCCGGGTATTGTCGCTATCTCATAAGTAGTACCAATGTGACAATTAAATTGATTATGAAACGTTTTTGTTCTTCTTATTAAATCTGTCAACATAAAAATTCCACTATTATGAATTATATAGTTGTATCAGCATGATATTATATTTAATCAAAAGTTATCAAATCTTCACCTGTATACAAAATAATGCCATCACCACTACAGGAAACTATCCGATGATCTCCATTATTAGGCAAAAACTTTGCACTGAATATATTTGCCTTGTGACTGGTCTTGTAATCCATTAATACCTGTAACAGAAAAGTGAAAGGTATTTATTGATAATCTCTATGGCATTAAGTATAAATTTCTTATTTAATTAATAAGATAGTTCAACATTGATGATTCTAGATGATAAAATTGGCATACATGCGTTAGATACAAAGCTTTTTGTTCATTTGGCAAAGTTTCTACATCTCTATCTATGTCAATGTTAGACCTTGACTAGAATTAAACCATGTATGATATTTCCTTGAAAAAGGATTATTGCCAATGAAACTTCCTTCAATATATTTCCTTTTAATAGACTATATTATCATTTAATCATATATAATCTATATTTATTAAATAAAACATAGCAAAAATGCTTATACAAAAATACTAATCTTGTACAAGAAATAATTTTATCCTATGATGTATTATAGGTGTATTCATAATGTATTTATAGCAATGTGACAATGTAATATTATCATGTCAAATTTAACATTATCTATAACAAATATAACAAACATGATAATACATATATTTTCTATTAATAAGTAAAAATAAAAATAAAAGTTGAAAATGGTACTAAGAAAATAGTAAGAAAGAAACACACATGTAAGCCTGTTAAACTGCTTTGTCAAGGGTGAAAATATAAATAACCTTGGCACGGAATTTTACAAGACATATGAATATAGGTAAAATTAATATAGATGTATTATAAAATAGAAAGTATTTTACTATAAAAAACAGACCAATTTATCTGTAATTTACACTTTCTGCTACAAAAATTATCAACAATGGACTATTTCAAAAGAAAAGCAATTTAAAATTCAATTATGTTATTATATTAAAATTCTGGGTATCCTATATAATTGTAATTTATAGACAACAATTATATTCACAGTTAAATAAATTCTTAATTTAATTAAATATATATAAATATAAGTTACTAACAGTGATAACTTACCTCATAATTACAAGCATTTGTAAGGACAAGATGTTGGTCATCACTACCAGATAATATTAATTCTCCAGTAGCATTCCAACAAACAGAGTTTACACAACCATTATGAACTTTTAATCTTTTTAGCAATGCCATACGCTGCATCATTTGAAGGCTTGCTAAAATGTACGAATAAAAAGCAGTGATTTAAAAAGAGTTTCATAATATGTGAAAGATATAATGATCGTTTCACTTCTATTTAATAACAATTGTTCTTTACAGAAAAAAAAAAACATACAAAAATCTGTTGCATTCTATTTTGTTTATTAACACACAATTATTTAATTTCTAATAATTCTGTCTCATTCAGTTATTATTAATAAAATTAAAATGAAAAGAAACTGATCTTATACCATATGACATTATCAAACTTTCAATCAAATACCTTTACTGCTGGAGTAAAGCTTCATCCTGGTGCAGTCATTGTACGGTTGATAATAAATGTCACGAAATATATTTGAGCGTGTCTTCTTCATGATTAGTTCTTAACTGTTACGGTTGAAATTAAGCGTCAATTTTCGGAGCACATCGATCCCGGATTAATGTCAAATTTCTGATAACCGTAGTGAGTGGGAAACGAGTCTGACACTCAACAAGAAAAATCTTTTTTCGTATCCAGCAAATCAGAGAGCAAGTAACATGCTCTTACGCAGCAAAAATCCACGAGGATCGTACCAAAACGACATGGCACTGGTACTAAAAATAAACTCCAAAGCTTCGAAAATTTGTGCAATCGGATGAGTCGTGATCGCTTCTGACCAGAACAGCTGAGCGAATGTACACACACAATGCTGAGAAGAAAGTGCGCGAGAACTCGATCATTTCATAGGAGTATAATCGATGTCACAGTAATGTAACATATGTTCGGAGAACCCTTCTTTTAACGTTTGGAATAAATTAAAAAATAAAGTAAACATTACTAGTTATCAAAAGATATATCTTTAAATACCGGTAAACTTATTTAAATTTTTGTACAATAGAATTCTAGATAATGTAGCTTATACTTTTACTTTTAAACAATCACTTTTCAAGCATGTGTATATATGAATGTACTAAAAATTCGAGCCGAATTAAGTAAGGTAGTTCTCATTAAGCGAGTATTATTAAAATGTTTCATGAATGTTCACCAAGTCAATTTATAATAATTTCGATTAGTACAGGAACTATCGATATATCGAAACTTTCTGTCGAGAAGTTTACATTTTTTTAAGGAAGATACCGTGAAGCGTGTGCCAAGTGATTTCATCACAGTCGTGATTCATTTATATCTAATTCCACTATTATTTCATTTTCAATGCTTCTGTAATCATTAAAGAACATAAATGTGCCCTTCAAGAAGTACTGACCGAGCCGTACGAAACCTATGTAAGGTTATGAATATTTAGGATTTCGAAGAAGTTCGATCAACGTGATACTAAAACACAAAGTGATTTGGCACTATTCACAGCAAAAATGACAGTTATGGATTTTTTTGGTTGTGCCTTTTTGGCTTTTGGCCCACCATTTGCAATGTTTATATTTACTGTCGCAGCCGAACCTATTAAAATTATTGTACTAATAGCCAGTGCCTTCTTTTGGTTAGTTTCTTTATTATTGTCATCGGCGCTTTGGTACGCTGTGGTGCCACTACAAAATCACCTTGCATTTGGACTTGTATTTTCCGTATTATTCCAGGAGGCATTCAGGTGATTAAATCATAATATTTCGTATATATTTCTTTTATTTTAATTATTTGAGACACTATATATTTTGATTGTTTATTATTTTTATACAGGTACCTCATGTACTGGGTATTGAGAAAAGCTGAGAGGGGGTTAGAGAAAGTAACAACAATACATGTAGCAGATAGCAGGCATGTGTTTGCATATGTGTGTGGTTTAGGTTTTGGTTTTATGAGTGGTGTATTTGCTCTAGTCAATGTCCTAGCAGATGCTGTTGGACCTGGAACAATGGGCCTTCGACAAGGCACAGAGTACTTCTTTATAATATCAGCAGCCACAACTCTTTGCTTTATCTTGCTACATACATTTTGGGGTGTTGTATTTTTCTCTGCTCTGGATAGAAAAAATTGGGGACAAGTTATTTGGGTTGTTGGCTCACATTTGTTTGTGTCATGTATGACCTTGTTAAATGTGTACCAAGCTTATGTAGCTACTACTTTATCTGCTTATGTTGTTTTAATGATAACAACTGCACTTGCATTCAAAGTTGCAGGTGGCAGAACTCAAAGTATAGTTCATTGTTTTTCAAGAGAGTAAAGGAAGAAACTTTTATAACAAAGTTAAAATATAAGTAGTTGTGTTTGACTTGAATGAACATCACAGAATGATAAGGTTTTTTTCCCTTAGGTATTAGACCACAAAGAGATTGTTCATTACTCTGATATACACTGTGTGTAAGAAGATATGATGTTAAATTAACAGACCATATCTTATTCTTTGATATTACTAAACAAATCTGTAATGATCAGGAATATATTCATACAAATTTAAAACAAGTAGAAACTTACTTGAAGAATTTCTACACTTGACCAAAATGTATAGGAAAATGTTAAGTGTATCAGTATTATTTATTTTTCAAATGTAACATTCTACCGCGATGACAAAAAGTTTCTGCAAAAAGTTGTACTAAATAGTAATACGTTCTAGCAGAGAATTTTTTGGTCAAGCTGCTAGTCCGTCCCTTAAACCATCAAAACAATTGTATAACCAAAATGCGATATTTCGATTCAGAATCTAATTATACTGAAGTGTACAATATTGTCTTGTATTACGAAAAAAAAAAAGAAATCTAAAATGCGTGTAAATGTACATATGTAAGAATGTATGTATGCATATATAATGTACACGATTTATCAAAACAGAGAAGAGTAAATTTGTGCATCAATTCGCGCCTTATATCTAAAAACAAATTATTCAAAACAGGTTATACAAATGATGATAATACGTAAGGAATTGTTCAGTAGTTTTTGTATGTATATAAGATCCATTAACAATTATAATTTAGATGTTCAATATACATCTGTATATTTGGCATTGTGTTCAACTTACCATTTCAGGGTTTATTACTTGATACATATTACATTTCGTATGTCATTTAAATAAAAACCATTTTTGTGCAACTAAAGATTCATTTGGGAAAGAAAAGAGAAACAAATTCAATTTTAAAAAGTACAAATATTTCAACCAGTTTTTTATTGAAAAAAGAAAAAGTTGAAAAATAAAATGAATCACAGTCGCGAGATATCACTCGAACAAATTCATCTATCATTTAATTATGTAATAAAAAGATGTATCAGATCCGATATAAAATCTGAATGTGTAATCACGTATTTTCACCCTGTGGAACAATGGAATTCCTAATCAGTCATTAATAATATCTAGGAGCTTGTTAAAGAAGCCATAAGCAATTCCATTTTGTTTAAAAAGTTTTTTCCCTCCATTTTATCCCACCGAACTTCTTTGAATGAACCACCTAAATTTTCCCACTTCCTTTCTCGTACTAATTGCCCAGGAAAGAAATCCTTCCTAGGGGAATGAGCTATCGCAACTTGTACTCCCGTTTGCGGTTCACATCTAACAGCTATCATCCTAGAATACAAATAATTGTTTTAAGTAAAAACACGCATAGGTTTATATTAAAAGAAGAAATAAATTGACAAATACCTATCGCCTATTGGTGAAGCCAAAATACAACTGCTAGCATTTCCTAAAAGTTCCACGGCACCTAACCCGAGATGTGAACTATTGGCCAAAAACTGCCAACCCATACATTTTGCTAATGCCTGTACCGCTGTTATTTGATGTTGATAAATCTGTAATAATACAAAAAATAATTATACACATACTTGATAAAAATTAAGAGCATGAAAAAATGTAAATACCTGACAAAATATCAAATCACGTAATTCTTGAGGTTCATAGCTCATATGCATTACTCTACCATCTCGACAAACACATTTTAGAGATTTTTCTCCTATGTGAACAACAAGTGATGTTCGACATACCGTGTCGTATCCATGCGTTAAAATATTAATCTTTACACAAGACTGTGTTGGGGAATTTAACGCGTTCCAATGAGAAACGATTAAAGGATCTTTTACTTCTTTCGCTATTGTATCTAGGACGTATTCGGTACGTAATCGCATAAAATAATGTTGAGCCTGTTGAATAATTTGTTCTAAAAGAGTTTGACTTTTCGTCATTTCTAAAAGCTCGTATCTATCAGCGGCTGTTGGGCCAGCCAAACATCTCCTTTTACTGGGCCCAAGAGGTCCTGAAGAAGGATGCGGAAATGGGTGATGGGTATTTTTATGATGAACTTCACGTAAAAGTTGATGCAAAGAATGCTCTAACACATGATCATGATCACTTTTATGGGGAGGAGGTGCGGCTGGTTTTTTATCATTTCCTGTACTATGACAAAGTCCTATGATTAACTGAATTCCAGGCAGTACCTAAGACAGTAAAGCTTCATATAGTATATTATAAATAGACATAATTAACATATATATTAACCAAAAACAAAAATATTACTGTTGCCATTATTTGATTGCCAACAACCATATGAGGTATAGGCGCACGTAAATGCACCGCTTCTCTTGCCAACTGACTGAACAATTCTTTACAAAAGAGAACATTCTGTGCAGCTTCCAATTTTTGCTGCCAGTGCATGTCTGCATTGGAACTATGTGCACTGTTATTAAGTAAACTAATATTTGCACTGCATAAATCTTCTTGATCTATGATGAAAAATTAAGTAAAATTTTCAGCATCAATGATACACTGTATACAAATATCCCAATAAACATGTACATATACACATACTTACCTTTTTTACATAATACCTCTATATAAGCAACACCCTGTAATTCACTGGGAATAGTAACTCTCAATGCAGAAGCTTTGGAATTTGGAGGATGGGTTTGACCTGATACATTATTACCAGCACTTGGAGATGCAGGAGGACTTGTAGTACTTTTTTCTTCCTCTTCTGCCTTTGTAACTTCAAACATACCGGTCTGAGGAAACTTAGATCCAGCTATAAATATTCATACCATTAATGTGATATCATGATTTTTGGAATGACAATTGAAACATAGAAAAGCTAATTATGAACCTGTTCTATAACTAAGATCACCAATGATTGAATTAGAAACTTTTTTCAAACGCCAATTTTGTCTCAATCTCAGTAATTCAATGTGAAAATCTGGAGTTGATCTATTCCTAGCCAATTCATTTTGACAGTTTTTTAATCTATCAGCACCCATCATAATAACAGATGCAGCTCCAGCTAGTGCTTTTTTCCTAGCATATACTTGTATCATGGGCTTTACTTCAGCTGGTTCTTGTGGCACAGGATCAAGAACCATATAATGCTTTTCTTTTGCTATTGCAAGAACATCTGCTAGTACACATACTTCAGTCAATGCATTTCTATAAATAAAATTAATAGACTTTCTTACTTTGATAAAATTACATTTTAAAAGTATTTAATAAAATGTAACCTTAATTTATTCCTAACACTGTCCCATGGCCATAAGGATGACTGAAAAGAGGCAGGGTCTTTTGTGTCTTCTTCACCTTTTTCTCCGCCTTCAGATTCTTTCTTAATGTCATCACCATTGGCTTTACTAAAATCAATCTTTTGCGCAATTTTCGCCAAGTTTTCAGACAATGTAAGGGGTCTAAAAAATTATAGATTATCATAGTTAATAATTTTATAGTATGTTATGTTAAAAAGGATAAATAAAATTTTATTTTACTCCTGAGGTTAGGTGAAACATATAATAAATTCATTTATTCTCAGTTTTATTTACAGCTAACTTTTTATTTAACTTTAATGAACATTAAAAGCATAAAATACGTACGCTTGATAAATTTCTTGACCATCATAAGTAATTTCTTGAATCTGATTCTCGATCGGTGCTTCCACAGAGATGTTCACTGAATACGCCATTTTTGTTTTTCTGAAATATAGTTGCCACTACAAGTAATAAATGATGACTAAAAGAATAAAAAGTTCCCTAGAAAAATTAAAAATAAATTTTGAACTAGAATAAAACAAAATATTGGAATATCATTAATAATTCTATTAAATATATATAATGTATATATATTACTCAAGAAATGTACATATATTCTATATCAATTACGACTTAGTATTAAACCAAAAATTTCAACTTTCCCAAGTAGATTTAATATTTGAGAATATAGAATCGTGTTTTAATGGGTTTCGGAAAACCAAAATTTTGCCGGGATTTTTACCTATCCATTCATAAGAATAGTGAATATTCGGTACGAAAGGAAAAATACAAAAATTTGTAATATAATTTTCATTACTGTAACATTATGTCGAAGGTGAATACATTATATAATTATTTCACTTCACCTAAGACTCCTAAACAACCAAATAATGATCGAACATCATCAGAAGAAAAACCTGCAACACCTAAGAGGACGAGAGAACAAAGGCAAAAAGGTATATTGTACAAATAATTCATATATAAATAATTAATTTAATATAACAATATAACATGCGATGATAGACATATTTTGTGTCATTTTGGGGCGCATATATTGTTGTTTTATATAAAATAAATGCTTTATATAAAATGAGATTTTATAAGAATGTAAAAAACCGTTATAAAGCAGTAATTGAGTGTGATATTAATTGAAATATTGTATTTTTTTTTAGTCAGTACATTTTAGTATCTTCTTCAGTAAATTTCAGTATCTCAAATTATTAAATAAATATTACATAACTAATAATTCTTAATGATTATATGCAGCCAAGACTCCCAGCAAAGGGAAAGAAAATAAAAATGTCAAAGATAAGAAAAGTATTTTCAAAGATGATGATGATGATGATGATGAAGACCAGGAAGAATGTGAGCCAATACAGCCAAAAAAGAGAAGATTGATTATTCCTGATGAAGAATCTGGAGAAGATTCTGGAGATGAATTTAAACCTGGTTTGTTTTTAGTTTTAATACAATCTGTGTCATAATCTGTTATTTCTTAAAAAAAGAAACATATATTTGATATCATTTTTTTTACAAATTTAGAGAATGAATCGGAAGGTTCTGATTCAGGATCTGAAGGAGTTAGTGAAAGTGAACCACCAACTGCAAGCGAAGAAGAAACTCCAGAGGTAATAAATTATAGGTAAAAAGAAGATTTTTATTATTAATGTAATTTACATTCTAGAAAAAAATAAAGTTGACTACTACTCGTAAAAGGCAACAGATACGTACAAGGAAGAATTTCAAAGAAGTAAGTTTATATAAAATTGATTTATTTTATTAAACATATATATGTATTATTTAATTAATTAAAATCTAATTAGGATAAAAAGGAAGCAAAATCACAACAAAATCAAGCCCAAAGTTCAAATAGTGTTGTGGAATCTTGGCCTCACTTAAAGTATGATTTCCTCCAACCAAATAAAATACGAGATATTAATAGAAAACCGTCAAGTGATCCAAATTATGATCCTAAAACTGTCTATGTTCCTTCAGATTTCTTGAATCAACAAACTCCAGTAAGATAGAAATATAAATTTCTTCCATGTAGCTACAATTTGATATTCAATTTGTTATAATACAAATTTTTCAGGCTATGAGACAATGGTGGGAACTAAAAAGTAAACATTTTGATTGTGTTCTTTTCTTTAAAGTAGGAAAATTTTATGAATTGTATCATATGGATGCTGTACTTAGTGTCAGTGAACTCCATCTTACATATATGAAAGTAAGTATTTATTATTTTACATATTTAAAAGTCTCAGAATAAATGTAGTTAATTATAGGGAGAATTTGCGCATACGGGATTTCCGGAAATCGGATACGGTCGTTTCTCTGCAAGTCTTATAGAAAGAGGATATAAAGTAGCCAGAGTGGAGCAAACAGAAAATCCAGATATGATGGCGCAGCGTTGTAGTAAAAGTATAATACCGCAAAAATATGTAGCATGTATTTTATAATTATCAAACGTAATTCAATTTTATGTATTGCTTCCAGTGACTAGGCCAACAAAGTTTGATAAGGTAGTTAAGAGAGAAATTTGTCAGATAAGCTCTAAAGGCACGAGGGTATACACTTCACAGGACGTTGAAGCATCTACGCCGAATTCTAATTATTTGTTATCAGTCGTTGAAAAATGCCCCCCTGGTTCAAGCACATCTCATTATGGGGTATGCTTTTTAGACACTACAATAGGGGACTTTTACCTCGGTCAGTTTGAAGACGATCGATGCAATTCTAGAATATTAACTTTACTCGCGCATTATCCACCGGTTCATGTAAGTATTTAGTTTCAAATTCGCAATTTAGATTAGGCAAATAGATTTATTATAGATATTTTAGGTTGTTTATGAACGTGGTAGTCTATCTCAAAAGACATTACAAATTTTAAACAACACTTTAGCAGCGTGTATTAAAGAACCACTTTTGCGTGAATCTCAGTTTTGGTCATCTACAACCACATTAAAAGTAAGCATAATAATCTATTAAACTTTTTAGAACTTTAAAACATTACTTTGTTTATTAAAATTTGTTTTTATTCACAGAATCTTCATGAAGGAGAATACTTCAAAAAGTTGGATTCTGAGTTCCAATGGCCCGTAGGATTACAACCATATCTTAATCAAGGTAAGTGTTTCTCAATCCGTCTTATCAAATAAAAGTTTAATTTTTACATTTAAGCCTTCGTGTTTCAGGTGATACTTTAGGTTTAACTCCTGCCGATGATAAAGAGTTAGCGGTACATGCTTTAGGTGGATGCGTATATTTACTCAAAGAATATTTTCTTGAACAGCAATTATTAGCCCAAGCACGTTTCAAAACATATGTTCCGCCAGATTTTTCAACTGAAGCATCTGCAGCCTCCAGATTTGCAAATAATATGGTGATAATAAATTTGATTTAAGTATGTACATGATTGTTATACGAATAATCTAACATATTGCAATCATTAGGTTTTAGATGCTATCACTATTAATAATTTAAGAATTTTTGGGGAAGGTTCTCTTATGAAAACATTAGATCGTTGTTGCACCGCATTTGGAAAAAGGTATATTTAAAATAAATATAAATATTTTACAATATTTTTAATTGAACGTATTTGGTTGTGTAGGTTGTTACGTGAATGGATTTGCAGACCATCTTGTCGTAAAAATGTTATAATTGATCGCCATGAAGCTATACAGGAATTAATGGATCATTCATGCGAAGTACAAACTGCCCGTAGTATATTTGCAGGACTACCTGATCTTGAAAGATTATTAAGCAAGTAAGTTCGAAATATTATTAACAATTAGTTAAATCATTTATAAAAAAATTTGATACTCAAAATTGTGTAATACTAGAATCCATGCTCAAGGAAATCCGGCAAAGATGAATAATCATCCCGATGGTAGAGCAATTATGTTTGAGGGTCACACGTATTCAAAGAGAAAAATTGTAGATTTTATTACCATTTTGAACGGTTTTGAGGATGTTTTAAAAATAGTTGCTTCATTCAAAGGTAATTACACTATCTATATTGTGTGGAAAAGTTAATTAAAACCGTTATATCAAAGTTAAAACGCTTCTGTTTTGTAGATTTCAATACTATATTAATAAATCAATGTACCAAAGTAGAACCGGATGGGGAATTTCCTTCATTAAGAGAGTCTTTAGATTACTTCAAGGTAATTAATATTATTAATATTTAGTGATTGCTATTAAACGAGATGTATGTTATAGACCGCGTTTGATCATGAAGACGCCAAAAGAGAAGGCTGTATCGTTCCAAAGAAAGGAGTTGATACTGAATACGACGCTGTCTTAATGGAACTGGCAGAGGTAAAGAAAGATTCAGAACGGTATCTTGAAAAACAAAGACAGCACTTCGGTGTGAAAGTTACGTTTCATGGATCAGATAAGAAGCGTTACCAGATCGAGATTCCAGAGTCTCAAGTGAAGAAAGTTGGTCCTGGCTATGAGCTTCAATCGCAAAGGAAAGGATACAAACGTTATTACACGGCCGAAGCGAAGGTTTTATTTTTCTCGATAGTGGTATAACGTGTTCAAAAAACGAAAAGAAGAAACTGAAATATTTTTTCAGGAACTTTTAAGTCGACAAATAAATGCTGAAGAACTCAAAGCTAAAGTGTTGAAGGATTTAAATAGAAGAATATTTGCACAGTTTAGCGAGAAGTATGACATGTGGAATACGGCAGTTTATAAATTGTCGGTCTTAGATGTTCTTATTTCTTTGGCGGAATATGCTCTCAGTGGCGATATGTGTATACCGGAAATTAGCGACGATACAGATGAAGGGGTAATTTCAATACAAATCACTATTTTAGGTATTAAAATTGTGAAACAAGAAATTTTCAAAAAATAATTTATCTGGTAGATATTTATTGATATTCGAGATGGACGGCATCCGTGTATCATCTCTGATACTTTCATACCAAATGACACTCTATTGGCAACTGAAGATTCTGCCTCTTTCATGATTCTCACAGGACCGAATATGGGCGGTAAATCAACATTAATGCGCCAAGTAGCTCTTATCACCATAATGGCACAAATTGTATGTTTTAATCATATGCAACATTTTAAACTACAGATGGAAAATTAATTTTCGTATTTTGCAGGGAAGTTATGTCCCTGCAAGTTCTTGTCGCATAACATTAGTAGATCGCATTTTCACGAGACTGGGAGCAAATGACGATATTTTGGCTGGCCAAAGTACCTTTTTGGTAGAACTAAGTGAAACTGCTACGATTTTGCAGCACGCTACGCCTTACTCATTAGTGTTGCTTGACGAATTAGGTAAAAATTATTTACATTTGGTTATAATTGCAAATAAAGTGAATGATATCAGATCAAATAATATGATTCGATGTTAATAGGTCGTGGTACTTCAACGTATGACGGTACGGCAATAGCTGCTGCAGTTGTAAATGCGCTCACAAAGTTGAACTGTCGTACGTTATTCTCGACGCATTATCACACTTTGGTAGAAGATTACAAAAATAATAAGAAAATTACATTAGCCCATATGGTACGTAAAAATATTGTATATATCTTTATTGTTAAGTTTTTTCTTTATTCAGAAAAAAATTATTTATTAAAGCATTTTTATTTATATCATGTTTTAAGATTTTATAACTATTTTGTTTTCCTCTCTCTTTTTTATAGGCATGCATGGTAGAAAACGAGGAACAAGATGAAGTATCTCAGGAAACTGTAACATTCTTATATAAACTTAGCGACGGTGCTTGTCCAAAATCATTCGGTTTCAATGCTGCGCGATTAGCTGGCATCCCACCTGTAATTACAAACAGAGCACATGAAATTTCAAAGAAACTGGAACAGGAAACAAATCAAAGACATCTCTTCACCACCCTATGTAAAGCAAGTGGGGCAACCATAAAGGATCTCATTGCAACATTGTGAAAATCAAATAGATGTTAAATATTTATGGGCATACTCAATTTAGTAGTTACAAATACCTTACAGTATTTATATGTTTTTATACAATTTGCTATATATATTTATTATTTTTCATTGTAGCTTGCCATTATTATTTGGTACTATTATATATTTTGATAATAAAATGAACGTTAAACACTGATTTAATAATATTGTGTATATGTTATCGTACATTTTTAGATATAGGATCAGTGAATAAAAAGGACAAGGACTGTTGCTTACAAAATTTTATTAATTAATGCCAGAGTACAAAAGGGCTACTTATGAGACGAGAATACGATGCAATACAAACAATGAAATTTTTTACTCACACCAAAACGACGAAGAAATATCATTTCTTTCTGTTTTTTTTCTTTTTTTATGTCGAGCATAAGAGAAATCGTGTGCACGAGAGTCTTACCGTGAAATAATAAATACAATTCCTTACGTGTTATCGTGAAACAAGGAAGAAGCAGTGAACGATTATAAAAAATGAATGATTATTGATTACTTCGTCCAATAGAATTACGGTTGCGTATTTGCCTTACGAGGGCTCTATGTGATACAGCGATAAATAGGATCGAGTAATCCTAATTGTTTATGTATGTTGATAAATCGAGCAATTAAGGAGTATCTGCGTGAGTAGTAATTTGCTACAATACGATTAGTAAGATTGCGATCTTCTCCATTGTAAATATGAATATTTACGCCTCCATGCGCAAGAAACTATTTTTTTTATTTTTTTTTTCATTTTTTATTTTTTTTTATTTTCTTAATCGAATGGATGAAGAAACTTAAAAACAACTGATAAACAAAAAGGAACTGTGCTCTCTATAAAAGTCACGCGAATGGCGTTCATGCAGAAGAAAAAACTAGATACGATTATTAAAAAGGCACGGAAATTAAGAAAGCACTTGACCTTGTTTTTTTTTAATGGATTACATATGATGTACTTTTATTATCATAATTAATATTATTATTATTATATTATTATTGTTATTACTATTCCTTTTTCTTCTTTCGAATAACATATGCCTACTTCTAATATACAATTCCGAGGTTTCGTCGAACGTTTTCTAGTTTTATAATTATTATTATATTCGTGAATCGAGCGCTAATATCTTTCTTGTTCTCTCTGGACGTTCGCATCTTTTGTTTTTTTTTTCCTTTTTCTTCGTTTGTTTTTTTTTTTTTCTTTTTTTTTTAATCTCCATTTTAATTTTTCGCTAATCATCAATTACAACTTTACGATTCGTTTTCCTTATCGAAAGAAAAAACCAACCGACAACAGTCTATGAATTCAAAGAAGCGTGTAAAACGCGGTGGTTCCTGGCGCTCTTCTGATTTCTCGCATTTCAGAATTTGGCAGGATTCTTTTCTCATTCGAACGATCTCCTTCTTTTCCTATTTCTCCTTAAATCCTCCGCAATTTTCCTACCTCGAGCAACACATCACCCACGAGAGAGAGAAAAAAAAAAAAAAGAAAAGAATCACCTTTTTTCCGTCTTTTGTGTCTTTCTCTCTCCTTTTATTATAATTCCATACTCTCTCGCTCTCTTTCTCTCTCTTTCTAGCTCGCGCGCTCTCGCTCTCTCTCTCTCTCTCTCTCTCTCTCTCTCTCTCCCATTTTTTCTCCGTTCTTTTGGCGTCTTCTTATCAAATGTAGGATTAACGGTTCGAAGAATATCGATACCGTGGAGTAACACGATCTGAGAATATTATAGAAAGGTGCGGTTCAAAAGAGAACGGCCGGACGTTGAAGGGGGGTGGGGAGGCGAAAATCCTCTCGAAAATGGGGCATTCGGAGAAAAAAAAAAAAAAAAAAAAGAAAAACAGAAAACTATCTTACACCCTCCTTTCAATTTTCCTTTTTCCGTTCTTTCCTCTTATTTTTCACGGTTCGAAAAACACAAGCTCTACTATCCCTGAATAAAGTTATGCGCTTACAAAAAATCGTGGGAACGGGAAATATACTCCGAGGGAAAGGGAATGACGTTTCTCTCATCTCTCTCTCTCTTATTTTTTCTTCTTTTTCTCTTTTTTTTCCTTTTTCTTTTCCCTTGTCACCATCTAACCCGCTTCGGCAATTAGGACCTAAGAATCGTCACAGGGATGACAGTTTGCTCTCTCTCTCTCTTTCTCTCTCTCTCTCTCTCTCTCTCTCTCTACTCGTTTACATCGCGTGTCTTGCCGCGCACCGTTAACCCTTCCAGTGCTGTCGCAATTGCTCGCATCACGAAAGAACTCACGTCACCTGGCCACCGTGGAATCGATTTCCTCCAAATTGAACGAGACGAAGAAGGGAAACGCGGGAAAATAAATAAACGGAAAAGCGAACATCTAAGCATCAAGGCCGCGGAGAACAGTCCACGAGCTACACACACAGCGAGGGAAATACCGGAACGCGAAACGCGCGAAGGGAATTCGGTTGCGAATTGCGAAATCTTGAAAGCCCGGATATCCCGAAGACGAAAGATCCAGACCGACACGATTCCCGATTCGCAAGATCGCGATTTTCTTCCCTCGTCTCGCGCCCCGAAATTTCCCATTGTCCTACACGAGTACTCGTCACTTTACGTAACATCGGGCACGGCACGTGAAATACATAAACGACCAAATAGGACACGAAGCGATAAAACGAAGGCTCGAATCGGAATTCGAAAATCAGCTCGATACCCTATGCGTATGCGATAAAAGCGGAATATATAAGAAACTTATAAATATATAAGAAAACCATCTGATCGTCCAGAAGAATTCATTGAAAGAAGAGTACAAAATGGTCGACGACGATCTTCCATTTCGTTCACGGAAGAAGGGGGGATGTCGGTGTCTGCAGTGCTGGTGGTGTTCGAGGGTTGAGATATCGACGAGGGCCCGGTTTCCTTCGAATTTGCCAACACTGGAAGGGTTCACGGCGCCAACCAAAAAAGGAGGATGCCGATCAGCGGTTGTCCAAGAGGCCACGGTTTTACCACAGTCCGGATGAGTATCCACCGGGTGGCACGCGTGTGCGTGCCGCCGGCGCCTTCGCCGCCGGCGACGTGTCGTTCGATTTCTCGCTGGAATTCGAGCTGGACGTTCCGTTTTGCACGGCAGGCCCGTTCTGTGACTCTGCGTAGCCAGTTCCGGTTACCGGGTTACCATCTGCGAAGAAGTTTTCGTCTTTCAGTCAATTGGCTCGGCGAGCGGACATTTCGGCACGTGCTGAATTCTCCAATGGTAATATCGGGGGTGATTCGTGTAAAGTTTCGGATTTACTTGTCTTTTACTTGGATTGAATTATAACGAGGGACCATCTCTGCTTGGTCTTCGTTTATGGTGATTTTGGAAGTCACGGGAATGTAAATGACCACCGTTTGTTTCTCTATGGCATTATTATAACGTAGAGGAATTTCGTGGGCTATTTGGGGCAGTCTAATTTTGAGTTCGTTGGAATTAACCGGTAACTGCGGTTGACGGGTATACTGGTATAAATTTACTACGAATTTTAATAAGACGTCAGAGAAATGTTATTTAGAGGTACGTTCTCTTTATATTACAGTTAAAATTGAGTTGCTATTTTCCCCGATAGTAATTAGAAATAATATAAATAAAATGAGCTAACTTAGCAAGGCACAATTCTTGATAACGATATTTTTCTCAACAATAAACTGTTAACCCTTTGCACTCGAGAGGTGACTCTTAGTCACCGTTTGTTCTAATGCTATAACTTAAATAACGAATGATGATAATTATATTAATATCGAAATAAAATTATTCTATTCGTTCGCTTCTCACGCAAATTTACGATTTTCTTTTCTTAATTTTAGCATAAGGAGTATCAGCGAGCTTATAAAAATCTAAGAATTTCGAATTGCATCTTTACAACGAAGAAATCTTCGAGTCCAAAGGGTTAATTTCTAATAAAAAAAAAAGATGCAACTGTTTCTAGTTTTGTTCTACTTCTTCGGTAATATTTCTGACACGAGAAGCTGGTCATTGCACGATTCTAACCACGCACCCCGTTTAAAACCAAAGCCCGCAGTCGACCGGTTAAATTGTAGGACAAAAGCGAGATTTCCAAACCGAAGCGGTCCGTTTACTAAAGCTTGCCTGCAGTGCGGATATAACCCCGACCGAAGTCGATCGACTCCGAGGCCGCTACCCCCACTCCTCCGTGCCGTGACCGTGCGGTGGGGGTTCTCACGCGCTTGGCGAAAAATCGCAAGTAGACCGCTTTACAGCTGGAAATCTCGCTCGCTTTAACGCCATTAAAGATCGGCGCTATAGAAACCTCGGATTTTTTTCCACCTCTTTCTCGTTGCTATGATTTCTCCATTCGATCGGGCAAAATCGATCTCGAACCAGTAGCATGCAATAATTATCAGGCGTGTAAAAATCCGTCAGATTTTATCGGCCGTCGTTACCGTTTCATTTAAATTGGCAAACGAGAATAAAAAGGTATTAATTAACCTATAACGGTATCGGGAGCGTTTTCAACGACGTTTTTACACACCTGATATCCACGTGCCGATATAACACTGTCATAGAGATATCGAGATCTCGCGCGAAATTCACATGCTGGCTCTCCCTTCGCGATTTTTCCTCCGCGTTTCCCGTACACGCCCGTGAAAGGGGGACAGGGACACGCGGGTAATTTACTCGACAGGCAATTAAGCGTAAAACGTAAGGAAACAACCAGTCGGGGTCTCGATGCACTGATAAAGTACTCTCGGATATAAAATATTCGCGAGAGCTATACTACGGAGGACTTGGGCTACGCAACACCGGGAATGCGTAATCGTCTACTACGTGGAACACGAACTTACCGTACTATATTACAGACTATTGTGTGTGCGTGTGAATGTTGACCTATGGAAACTTGTCCGAGAATTGCTCGAGTTCCGTGCCTCTGTTGGAATTTATACTTTTCGCGCTCGAGAAACGCGGATTTTTTGACGAACTCGAGCAAGTCGCAGAGACGGGGATGTGGGGAGCGATTATGCGAATTCAAATGGATACCGATTTTACACGGCAATCGACGAATGATACTTATGCCAGGGATATTTCACGTAACACATTCCGACATAACATTCCATATCTTCTTTTCCGAATCGTCGATTGCCTTCCAAGTAACTAGGACAATAATCTAGGGATATTTCTAAATGTTTTTGGGGCGAGAGTGGGACGTGTAACAAAAATCAATGAAACAAAATTACACGTGAAACTATGAATTACGTATACTAAAATTAACCTCGAGTCTGAAACTAAAACTAACAACACATAAACACACGAAAAAATGAAAACAAAGGAAAACACATTGCAATCATGTAGAGAAATAAAGAAATGCATAAAAGTATATCGTAAATGGGATCCAATCCTCTTCGTCCGCAGCAAGAAATACACAGAAATTATTCGTCGCCGAGGGCTATACGAGGAAAAAGAAACGGTAAAATAAAACAGTGAAAGCTGAAATATCGACTCGTAAAAAATAAATTCATATCTTGCTTCTTCTTCGTGCAACGCCCGTCCAAAACCACCAAACGTAACCCGCGAGAGGAAGGAATAACGCCGATAAACTTGCTCTTTGCACTGTGACGCATCGGCCAATCGGTTAAGCGCACCTTTATCTATTCACGAGTCACGGTGAAAAGTGTATCACGGTAATTTCAGCTGCCCCGAGATATCGTAATCTCTTATACGCAACAACAACTCGAATCGGACGTGAGTCACGATTTTTCTGACTCATCTCCGGACAATTCGGACCCCAAATGGTACCAATTCCGCGGGCAACAATGCAAGCTGTGCGATCAAATATTCATACAAACCCCTGTCGTTGTAATCGAAACAAAATCGACCCCACGATGTGCCTCGTGTGTATTTTGTACCGTCAATTAGGGGTTGTTTCCCACCCCTATACGAGATTGCCTATTTACTCCGTTGTTCCCTATACGCGTGTGTTATGCTAGCTGAAATCACTGTGATATCGGTGGTCCCCTTTGGTAGTTTTGGACGTGGTCGCAGGACCTCTTCTCCCGTTGTTACCTGCTCCGTGAGAAATTAACGAAACGGAGTTGTTCGCGCGGCCCAAAGTTTCTCGGGGAAGAGGACGAGACGAGGTGTTAGGGGGTCGTCGATTGGTGACGGATACGGGAGGATGAAGGGAAGGATGTAATTAAACGAAGGATAAGGGAGATGCGTCGACGAAGAAGTGTGAAAGACATGGTCGTTTTTAAAAGGGAACGAGAAAATAAAATTGAGCAAAAAGAAGAGAGGGTAAACGTTACCTCGACACCTTCGTGCGCTGCGCCTCACGGGCGTGACAGCAACTCCGTCTCCGGTGACCGGGTTGCGCGTTAAGCAGGATGATCCACCTGCCGGGTTTCGAGCGGGTAGGAAGGCACAGGAGGACGACAGTTTCACAGCCGGTGCACGCAAAGCGACACGCGCCAGAATTTCACCACCACCACCACCACCACCACCCCCATGCACCGACACACAGGTAGCAAAACCCACATCATCGTCACCCAAACGTGTATTTGTGTTAGTACGCGCGACTGTTCGCGCGGGTAAATGGAAGATACTCGCTTTTGAATTTTTGGAATCTTTGGATCTTTGAATCTGTGAATTATCGGGGCTTTCGATCCTTGCATGAATAATTGGATCCTCGAATTTTTAAGGTTTCGAATTTTTGGATTATTAGGTTTTTGGATCCTTGAATCTTTTAATTTATGAATCTTTAAATCCTCGAGTCTTTGGATCTTTGGATCATTGAATCTATGGATCTTTAAATTCTTGAGTCCTTGGATTTTTGGATCATTGAATCTATGGATCTTTAAATCCTCGAGTTTTTGGATCTTTGGATCATTGAATCTATGAATCTTTACACCCTTGAGTCTTTGGATCTTTGAATCATTGAATCTATGGATCTTTAAATCCTCGAGTCTTTGGATCATCGAATCTATGGATCTTTAAATCCTTGAGTCTTTGGATCTTTCGATTATTGAATCTATGGATCTTTAAATCCTTGAATCATTGAATCTATGGATCTTCAAATCCTTGAGCCTTTGGATCTTTGGATCATTGAATCTATGGATCTTTAAATCCTTGAGTCTTTGGATCTTTGGATTATTGAATCTATGGATCTTTAAATCCTTGATTCATTGAATCTTTGAATCTATGGATCTTTAAATCCTTGAGAGCCTTTGGATATTTGGATCATTGAATCTATGGATCTTTAAATCCTTGAGTCTTTGGATCTTTGGATCATTGAATCAATGAATCTTTAAATCCTTGAATCATTGAATCTTTGAATCTATGGATCTTTAAATCCTTGAGCCTTTGGATCTTTGGATCATTGAATCTATGGATCTTTAAATCCTTGAGTCTTTGGATCATTGAATCAATGAATCTTTAAATCCTTAAATCTTTGGATCCTAGAACTTTCCGATCTTTGAATCATTAAATCTTTGGATCCTAGAACTTTCCGATCTTCGAATCATTAAATCTTTGAATTTATGAACCTTTAAATCCTTGAGTCTTTGAATCTTTGGATTTTTCAATCTCTAAATCTATGGATATTTGAACACTTGAATACTTGAATTGTTTAATTAAAAGACTATAGGATTCTTAAATTTTTTAAATTGCGGATTCACATGAAATTGGAATGCGAGTATCTTAAATTTATCCGTGCGAAGAGAAACTGGTACGAACATAAAAGGAAATGAAGAATGTTATACTATACTACGTTCGTGTGAAATAAAGAGCAAGCAAAAGCAAACAAGATTACGGAGCAAAAAAAAATAAACACAGTGTATCGAGATAAAAAAAAAAAAAAAAGAAAACAATGGAAAGAAAAGTAATTGTTACAGTTCTCAAACAGTTTAACAAGAACGCCGACACGCGTGAAATCCAAGCAATGAGTCGTGGTGAAATCATAGGAACAATTAAAAGTTCATAAACCACGCGGAGTCATCGTCAAAAAATTAAACAAATACAACTCGAGTCGTGTAATATCTTTCGCTATAAATCAATCTCGATAACGACAAATACAATAAAAGGAATAATACTGTTATTATTATCAGCTGTTATTTCGAAATTCCACCACAGTGATATGAAATAAAAAGAAAAGGTGGCTGGTCAAGAATGTGCTTTATCAAAAAAAGAAATCCGTGCTCCCAAATCGGTCGCGTGAAAAATCGTCGAGAAACTGATCGTTATTTGTCGCAAGCAGTAAGTGTTACGGTGTTCAACTTAAAGATTAAGGGGTTCAAAACGACGTGACTAACTCAAAATATGTGTTTCCAGTTTCGTAGCAGGCCCTGTGATCCGATAAAAAAAAAAAAAAAGAAAAATTCGTCCACTGAAAACCTTCGTATTTCGTACTACACGAAACATAATTATCAACGAACGTTCTCGAGTATTCTGCGACTGTGCAAAATGAATAAAATAAAAGGAAAAAATAAAATAAAATCCAACGATGCAAAATGAAATTCTAAGAAACGCTAGTCGATTCGATTTTTCAAAAATCCGGAAACTTGATTTGCATTATATATTGCATTTTTGAGTACTTTCAACAAACATTTTCTGTTAAAAAATTAATAGAAATTTGATGGAAATGTGACTAAATTGAAAATACGATATTCTTTTTATTCTCCATTTTCCATTTTCAAAAAAATTAATCGAAAACAGTATCATTCGCGAATTTTGCATTCTTTTCATACGTTTTTCGTAATTGTTTCGTGAAGAATTCTATGGACAGTTCACATTCGAATGGACTACGATCGTGGATCGTGGAGTATTCTGTACAATTCGATCGATAATGTAAATCAAGCTGGAGACGGTATTTCCCGGGACAGAACGCGAGCGCGCGTAATTAAAAAATAACGTGTAGGATGAGTGTCGTGTCATCTACTTGAACGTGTCTTTTTTACACACTTACGAAATCGTTTGATTCTCCTAAAAGCTGCTTGCGAACAATTCAAGAGGACGACTTGATAAAAAGCCATGGATTAGTCACAGAAAAATAATAATAAAAAAAGAAAATTCGTTCGTGTCTCGCTAGCTCTAGAATAAAAAGGTGAACAGGAAATTTTGCTGTTATCCTTTGGTCGAACGGAAAGAAAGAAAACGAACGCGACACTTCAAAGCGACGTCAAAGCGATTTCAAGGCACGATACTCTGCAAAAGTGTCCTAATTTCAGACGAGTCTCAAACGAAATTAATCGACGCGGTGCACAAGTAAAACCCGAAAAGAGCCTGCGACACACAGACACATATTTCAAGGTAGCTCGAATACAGTGCGAGTTTAAGTTTATATTACAGTTCGAGCGATTGCATTATTGTCAGAGCAGCGACCAACAGAAATAAAGATATCAACGAAAGACAGCGAAATAAAAAAAAAAAAAAAAAAAAAAAAAAAAAAAAGAAACAGAGAAAGAAAAGTGTTATTCGAACATACGCGATTGGCAAAGAAAGATAAAAAAAATCGTCTCGATAAAAAGCATCGGTACGTGAAGAGTCGCGGTTAAAATGCGTGAGAAACGAAGACACAGATCACGAGAGAATCTCGAGATCAAGCCGCTTGAGAAAAAGAAAATAAAACGAAAAGAGTTCGTCCCACGTTTACCGTGTGCTGGTAATCGTGCTATACGTACAGTCCGGCCATTGCTCGTCCGAAATAAATCGAGCGCGGAGGTCACCGCAGCCAGCTACCCCCACCCCGCGGCGACCAAACGTCTGTCGCGCACGCGCGTAACCTATAGCCCCGGAACGTTCGAGACGCGCGTACCGGTGTCCCGAGTGACTAGCGCTTCGGACGATCGATTGATTTCGGACTGAGAGCAATTAGCGAGCATCGAAAATCGGCACAGTGTAACAACTGGACACTCGTGCGCGACTCGTAGCCGCGTTCCCTCGCGCTCGCACCGTACACCAGTTCACCTGACCAGAGAGAGACAGTATATCCTTTTCGAGATATAGAGGGAAGGAGAGGGTGTTTCGGACGCGTTCGAGGAAGGAGAATTTACACCCTTACCTGTGACATCGTTGTTCAAATTGTTGCCATTGCTGGCCGCGCATCCGTTGAGGACGCCCGCGACCGAGTGTGAGCTGCCGGTGCTCTTCGCGGGCGACGTCGCGGCGCCGGACGACACCGATGAGGACGTCGACTCCCCGCTGAGGGAGATATTGCTGCGCATGTGATTTTTCGCGTTTGGGGTGGTGGGTGGGGCATCGGGAGGGCCAAACAGGCGATTGTATGAATCATTACCGGGCTTGTTGCGCGGCGTTTCGTTGCTGTTGCTGTTCGGTGTATCGCCGAACAACGCCGAGCCCAGCTGCGACTGGTTGTGGTTCTTCACGCGGCGGGGGCTAGTCTCTTCGGGAGCCGCGCCGAAAATATCGCTGCTTCCGCCACCAGGGGGTTTCAACACCCTGAAACAATGGAACAATACAGCCATATTAGATTTATCGACCTGATCTGGACACGGCTCTCGCAGCCATATGCTTCAACGCCAACCTAAATTCTCTCATCGAACATGTTACGCAGTTTTCTCCCCTGATACTTCTTTAGCATCTGTCGCAGTTATTTTCTTAATTACTTTAACAATCTTTTCTTAACTTTTGTTTTTTTTTTTTAATAAATGCAAGATTAGACTTTCTAAAAAGACGAAGGTATATTATGAGATAGATTTGAACGCTATTTGATTAAATTGTCGAGGTCCTCCTACGAGGTTGCACGAGTATCTTGTGATTCCTACAGTGCTATCAGTTGTTATTTAATGGCCGTCTTCTGCTACAATAGGTATCAGAAATAAGGACTCAAAGGAAGCGTTTCGTCCTGGGCCTGCAAGTGGACTTGCTCGTCGGTAAGTCTTTCTAGCAGACCCTAACTTAGACAGAGGATACTTAGGTAGTAAAAGAATTTGCATTTATGAGAAGATTCACCGAGAACTTGCGAGAAACGTCGAACCTCCGTTTTCCATCTAACAGTTAGAAGGTGTGAAACTTTAGTCGCTACGAAAGCCGACGAACGCGTTGAAAAATTGCATATCCAAATGAGAATCAGCCCTAACGCGCTTCTCATTAAGAGAAGTACCGTAGCAAGCCGCTATCTCGATCTCGACCTATATAGGTCTAGATACACGGATGTGGGTGAAGCTTCTTTCGAGGCAAGCACACGACCACGCGTCTGGATGGGAACACGCCCCGGGAGCTGTGCGCCACGTACCTTTCATGACTCCTTAGTCATACCCGTCGAGTCAGCCACTTCCGAGTCGGGCGAAGGGGTTGAGAACCATTGTTCTCGGGCGGCGTCCGCCGACATGGGAACAACACGGCTCGGTCCCCACGACGGAAGGACTCGATCCAATTTGCTCGATAAATCTGCGCTGATTTCTACGTAACGAGGGTCGCGCGTCTCTCGGCTCGATGCGTGGCACGCGCGCTTTGTCGCGTGCTCGCTTGCGTGGCCGAGCGGACGCAGTGGCGGAGGGAGGAAGAAAGAAGAGCAGCGACGAGAAATAAAAAGAGGGAAGAGAAAGAAAAATATAACAGACGGTGGAGGGAGCACAGACTTCGTCAGGACGAGCAATTAAAAGTATGGAATCCATTCTCTTCTCCACGAACGAACGAGCCATGGGGGAGCATAGTTTCGAAGGCCCGGCTTCATTAGCAGAACGGTTCAATTAACGGTGGAATCGTTCATGCGCAACGATTTTTCTTTTTTTTCGCTCTTTTTAATTTCCTCCAACGAGACAGCTTTCGAACCAGCCGAGGAAGAGAGAAAACGATCCGAATATGGATCGTTTCTGGTTACACGGCTCTCGCGATGAATCTCGATCGATGCAGTCAGGATGAAGAATATCCCGTTGATTAATGCCTCGATTGATGTCTTGATATGGTAGCCGGTATTAACAATCCAGTTCCCATCTAGATCATTTCGTATCCGCGGCTGTTCCATCGCAAAGTACTTATAAACGATGGAAGCAGTTGCGATGGATACAGTGGGATCATTGGGACGAGCAACTGCTTGGTCAGCTTGCGAGGATATTATTTATTCTCGCGCTGAGTCGCGTAAGAACCGAGCTGATCGAGTCTATCCAGGTTAATCGCTGCGTTCCTACAAAGTTAAACGCTAATCGAGCGGTTTAATAAGGTAATGGGACCTGAAGATTCACGGAAAGAGACGTTCGTTTAGGCTCTGCCCGGGATAGGCTCCGTGTTTCGTATATTTACGACGTAATCGTGTAATTTCTCGTGGAACGTAATCGTATGCGAGTACAGGGGGGCAAGGATGGAACCTGTCGGACGATGGAACCCCGAGCTTTAAGATGGAACCTCTCCTACTGCCACGGAAAGTACGAATCACGGCGCAATAATTAAGCCTCTCCACCCTTAATTCCCGGCCGGCGAAGAAATGGCCACTGCCTACAATTACCGCTCGTTCCCCGAGACTTAGCTGGTAATATGATTTATAAATTCGAGGACGCCACTCCTAAGTCATCCCCCCGTCTACGCGCGTCTACGCTCCCTCGCGGTAATAGATTTTCTAATTACGTTCAATTAACATTCTTCCCGAACGCATTACGTTGTTCTATCGACCGTGTCGCATGCCTGGCCGTATCCTACACGTACACGCGCCTGCAAGAAGTCGTTAACTCGCGATCGATCGAATGTAATCGTTCCACTCTAATTAACGACGCAACACCGACGCCCCTCGCAGACCACCCCCGCCCCTCTTGCGCGTCGTTCATCAAACGCCCGTATCATAGCGCGCATTTCATCGACTCGACGATAAATCAACGCTTCCTCGTTACGGTGTCTCGGATAATTGAACGACCGACGCGGTTTGATGGAAACGTTCGTTCCTTCTACGAGCAGGCTCACCGACCATACGCGCCACGGCTTATAAGCCTCGTTTACGCTCCGTTTAACGCTCAAAACCCGCCACGAGGGGCGCACAATTCGTCCAATTATTAAACCGATCTAATTGACCAATTACTATTCCGTTTCCAGGCTGGATTTCTTCTCTGGGAACAAAGTACGAATTCTGCGCCGCCTGCATATGCGGGAGTGACTTTAAGTTAGTTAGGGGGTCTAAGTTAAGTTAGGAGTCTAACAAGGAGAGTGCAAGTCCTTCGGGTCAATGATTTAGTTGAAACTTGGCACGTTTGAGATATTTATGATTGAAGGTTTATTATTCTAAACTAGAGATTTCTTACGAATAGTTATCGATAGTTATCAAATGGCAGTGTGGCCTAACAGCAACATCCGAAAATTACCACCAGTTTGTGAATTTTTGGATATCGCCATTAGATCTCAATGGCACTTGGTAAATATTCGAAATAAATCTGTAATTAAGGTAATAATCAAACTCTAATCATAAATATCTCGAAAACTACCGACTAGTTGCCTTTGTCCAATTATTGTCCAATTATCAATTCGTCCAATTATTAAACCGATCTAATTGACCAATTACTATTCCGTTTCCAGGCTGAATTTCTTCTCTGTGTACAAAGTACGAATTCTGTGTCGCGTGCACGTGCGTCGAGTGGTTGGCTCTAAGTTAGTCGGGGGGTCTAAGTTAGGAGCCCCATTAGATGTACGTGATTCTCAGAGATCAAGCTGTTATGTGCTACAATGCTACAGTGTCGATCGCTACAATCGCTATTGGTTTTTGAATTGGTTTTCTTCCTCGAAGCTAACGGTACCAATAGATAGTCAGCTGGTAGCGATGAGGTACAACTACCCAATCCCGCAAGCTCTGCAACCGATCTACGGAGACCGAGTTGCAAGGCACTGCTCGACTGTAAATTGGATTCTTTTTTCACGGGGGATATAAAGTACGAATTCCGTGATATGAAACGAGCAGTCGAGTAGACAGCTCATTCTGTGTTAGCGATCAGGTACAGCTATCCAATCCGATCGGACTGTAGATCATTTACAGAGATCACAGTGCGAGATACGACTCAACATTGACTCACTGCCCGCTTCCAAGCTAGGTTTCTTCTGCGAGTACGAAGCACGAACAGTATATGATACACTCAGTTGCCAGTGAACAGGTCCAACTACCCAGTGCTATCAGCTTCGCATAATTTACGGTCATCGGGGTAGCATTCGGTAACTATTTCCAAACTGTTTTTCCCTTGGAACAAGAAGCACGAATTTCGTGATACGAAATAAGCTGTCAGTTCGTGTGTCAATAATCAGGTACTATCCAATCTGATCGAGGTAATCGAGGTAATTGTATGACACAGAGCAGGTAGTCAACTAGACAGCGATCTACCTATCCAATTCTCCCAACTACACGCAATTTGTAGAGATTACGTATTTATAGAGGTACAGTGTACAATGCAACGGTGACTTACCGTTCATCCACAAGCTAGAATTCTTTCACGAATCCGGAATACTAATGCAATACGATACAAAATAGACAGTCGAACAGGCATCCGGTTGTTGGCGATCGGGTCTAACTACCCGATCCTTTCAGCCCCGCGTGATTTACAGAGATCGGGTTGCAAGGTTCAGCGCAACGTTGATTTACCGTTCGCATCCATTTCTCCCTCGAGTACCAAGTACGAATTCTCGGATGCAAAACAGGCATCCGGTTCGCCCTGTGCGTCCAGTGATCAGCTACGACAGTCTTATCCTGCAAATCCGAATCTGAATCGGAGTGAAAAACCGTGTCGCTGATCAAAGTCGAAGACATTGCTAGAAAGACTGACTTTCCTCGGACAGGTAATCCAGAAGCTCGTTAAAAGAGGTCGTCCGCTACAGAGTTCTAGTTCTCCGGTAAAATATAAACTCGGGTACCTGTTTGCCTGCGGTACATGTCACATCGATCTCAATATACATTCAATAACATAACTATCTCTGATCCCCGGCGAGTGTTTTCCACGGACCCATATACGAGCTAATCCCGGGCAGGCTAGGTCTCCTGATCGCTCATAAATTAACCCATGAATCACGAACTTGTATTTCCTTCCCGACAACGTTCTAATGGCGGCAAATAAATAAACAAAACGGTGCACCGTACCACCTTTCCATTTCTTAGATACCGCGAGTGCTGCTCGGACGTTAGCCGGAAGGGCAAAAAGAAGGCGAATCCACGTGCCCAGAGAGGACGTCCGCGAGGATTGATGGTCCCCTACGGTGATGTCGCGTCCGGTCATAGTCTGCGTGCACTGTGTCCCCCGTTCGCCGCCATTTTCTGCAGGTAGAACCCACACGTTCGACGAATCCGCGGCGAGATGGGAGAGCAAATAACGAGGATAATCAATCGGCCGTAGGAAGCGTGCACACAGTCCTGGAGGGGACAGGATGGGTGCGCCGGGAAATATGCTGGATGACGTACGGCGACGCCTCTGCGTCTTCTTTTCGACGCCGTTCAGCCCCGCCATGGAGGACTAAGAAGAGGACCTCTCTCAGCTGGC